TTTTCCTCTTCTTCTTCTGTATTTCGTCTTCAGGAGGCCGACTTCTGGCACTGCACCACTGTATCTGTTTAACATTGCTTTCTGTGGTTCCCTGACTGTTGTCGGTCGTGTACATGGCCAACCCATTTTATCTGCTGTTTACCGATACAATTCCTTTTTGGTTCTGTGCCGACTCTCCTCCTGATATCATCGTTCCTGAATCATTCTGTCCCTTTTACAATTAGCACAACAGGCAAACATTTCAATTCTGTCGTGACTTTTTTGTGTGTCTTCTGAAGACAGCGTCCACGCCAGATACTGATAGCATAGTGCTGGTAAGATAATAGCATAGTGCTGGTAAGATAATATCATAGTGCTGGTAAGATAATAGCATAGTGCTGGTAAGATAATAGCATAGTGCTGGTAAGATAATAGCATAGTGCTGGTAAGATAATATCATAGTGCTGGTAAGATAATAGCATAGTGCTGGTAAGATAATAGCATAGTGCTGGTAAGATAATAGCATAGTGCTGGTAAGATAATATCATAGTGCTGGTAAGATAATAGCATAGTGCTGGTAAGATAATAGCATAGTGCTGGTAAGATAATAGCATAGTGCTGGTAAGATGATATCACAGTGCTGGTAAGATGATATCACAGTGCTGGTAAGATGATAGCACAGTGCTGGTAAGATGATAGCATAGTGCTGGTAAGATGATATCACAGTGCTGGTAAGATCATAGCACAGTGCTGGTAAGATGATAGCATAGTGCTGGTAAAATGATAGCATAGTGCTGGTAAGATAATAGCATAGTGCTGGTAAGATGATATCACAGTGCTGGTAAGATGATATCACAGTGCTGGTAAGATGATATCATAGTGCTGGTAAGATGATATCATAGTGCTGGTAAGATGATATAGTGCTGGTAAGATGATATCATAGTGCTAGTAAGATGATATCATAGTGCTGGTAAGATGATATAGTGCTGGTAGGATGATATCATAGTGTTGGTAGGATAATATTATAGTGATGGTAAGGTAATATCACAGTGCTGGTAAGATGATATCATAGTGATGGTAAGATGATATCATAGTGCTGGTAAGATGATATAGTGCTGGTAAGATTATATCACAGTGCTGGTAAGATGAAATCATAGTGATGGTAAGATGATATCATAGTGCTGGTAAGATGATATAGTGCTGGTAAGATGATATCACAGTGCTGGTAAGATGATATCATAGTGCTGGTAAGATGATATCATAGTGATGGTAAGATGATATCATAGTGCTGGCAAGATGATATAGTGATGGTAGGATGATATCATAGTGCTGGTAAGATGATATAGTGCTGGTAAGATGATATAGGGCTGGTAAGATCATATCATAGTGCTGGTAAGATGATATAGTGATGGTAGGATGATATCATAGTGCTGGTAAGATGATATAGTGCTGGTAAGATTATATCACAGTGCTGGTAAGATGAAATCATAGTGATGGTAAGATGATATCATAGTGCTGGTAAGATGATATAGTGCTGGTAAGATGATATCACAGTGCTGGTAAGATGATATCATAGTGCTGGTAAGATGATATCATAGTGCTGGTAAGATGATATAGTGCTGGTAAGATGATATCATAGTGCTGGTAAGATGATATCATAGTGCTGGTAAGATGATATCATAGTGCTGGTAAGATGATATAGTGCTGGTAAGATGATATCACAGTGCTGGTAAGATCATATCATAGTGCTGGTAAGATGATATAGTGATGGTAGGATAATATCATAGTGCTGGTAAGATGATATAGTGCTGGTAAGATTATATCACAGTGCTGGTAAGATGAAATCATAGTGATGGTAAGATGATATCATAGTGCTGGTAAGATGATATAGTGCTGGTAAGATGATATCACAGTGCTGGTAAGATGATATCATAGTGCTGGTAAGATGATATCATAGTGATGGTAAGATGATATCATAGTGCTGGTAAGATGATATAGTGATGGTAGGATAATATCATAGTGCTGGTAAGATGATATAGTGCTGGTAAGATGATATAGTGATGGTAAGATCATATCATAGTGCTGGTAAGATGATATAGTGATGGTAGGATGATATCATAGTGCTGGTAAGATGATATAGTGATGGTAGGATGATATAGTGCTGGTAAGATCATATCATAGTGCTGGTAAGATGATATCAAAGTGCTGGTAAGATGATATAGTGATGGTAGGATGATATCATAGTGCTGGTAAGATGATATAGTGATGGTAGGATGATATCATAGTGCTGGTAAGATGATATAGTGATGGTAGGATGATATAGTGCTGGTAAGATCATATCATAGTGCTGGTAAGATGATAGTATAGTGCTGGTAAGATGATATAGTGATGGTAGGATGATACAGTACTGGTAAGATGATATCACAGTGCTGGTAAGATAAATTTTCTCTCAGTCTTTCTTTCTTTCTTTCTTTCTTTCTTTCTTTCTTTCTTTCTTTCATTCTTTCTTTCTTTCTTTCTTTCTTTCTTTCTTTCTTTCTTTCTTTCTTTCTTTCTTTCTTTCTTTCTTTCTTTCTTTTCTTCTTCTTCTTCTGTCCTTTATTTCTCAATGGAGCCTAGACCCTTCACAAACGGACACCAACTCATCTTGTCTTTTGCTATTGCGTGCAGCTTACGCTATGTCCTTCATGTAGTTGTTATTTCAGTATCTAGTTCCCTTTCTAATATGTATTTTTTAAAAAAAAAGTCTGCTTTCATCCTTTGACCATGTGGTTTCAAGTCCAACAGCATCTATATTTTTTTCAGGTATGAAACTATGTTTTAGAGAGAGAGATCACCTCAATGGATCTTCAAAACGGCTACGTATGTGGGAAACCTAACCACACAGTCTGAAGTAGAACCTTGGCATCAAGCATGCGAGGCTAAAGGCTCAACCATTTCGCCAAACTAAGTAGCTCACAACCATACTCTATGCGATGAGCTTGGGAGCTCAGGCCACTTGAAGCTCATCTATTTATATCTTCAGGGGAAGAAGAAGGTGGGGAGGGGTTTGAGCTCCCCTCCGCAAAAATTTGGTAAACATGTAACTGTGTGTCGAATAGACATTCTATTTAAAAGTACCTGGTACTTTAATTTGTATACCACATCTGGTCGTTGGCTTCGAGATGTGATAAGGAAATCATTAAGAGTTAGGTTTAGTAGTAGTCGCTATTCACTAGGCCTAACACCCCCCCCCCACCCCCTTTTTTCCCATAGCCACAGTATGGTACTGTACTGTCCAGGGAACCTCTCGGAATTCCCTACGAAATCTTAAAGACAAAATTAAAGTACCAAGTATTTGTTTTTATTAGTGATTTGCAACCTAGGGGTGCTCAGGATGTGTGTGTTCGTGTGTGAGTAAAGGGGTGGGGGGGGGGGGGGGCAAAGATGGTTTCAAAGGGGCGTTAAGTAATTGTGAAACAGGATACATGTTTTTTCTTTTAAAGCTAATTGATAGTTACGAAGACGGGCGCAGGATAAAAAAAGTCGGGAGATGTGAACCAGCGTCATTGCACACCGTTATAAACCATAATTGCTCTGCCACCAGTACGGACAGCTGATAAGAATTGTCCGCCTGTGTCGCCGTTCGCACGTAACTCTGTAGCTACAGCGACGTTCCTCCATTTAGCCCAGAGTGTCAACACTGGTACCCATTTCCTAGAGGCTGGTTGAACCCCGGGAATCGCGCGGTTTCGAACACCGACCGTGGGCTGCAGCAAGTCGCAGCTGGATCTGAAAGCGAGCCTCTCTTATCGACTGCGCTAACGCGGTCGTGGGCGCAGGATATAAGTAAGTGACTCCTTGAATCTGAAACTGCACGAGGCATATCCTGATGAGAGCGACGATCTGCAAAGGACCTGCTACGTGATGATGACGATAGTTCTGCTACATGATGATGATGATAGTTCTGCTACATGATGATGATGATAGTTCTGCTACATGATGATGATAACAGTTCTGCTACATAATGATGATGATAGTTCTGCTACATGATGATGATGATAGTTCTGCTACATGATGATGATGATAGTTCTGCTACATGATGATGATAACAGTTCTGCTACATGATGATGATGATAGTTCTGCTACATGATGATGATAACAGTTCTGCTACATGATGATGATGATAGTTTACCATTAAACGTGTCTTCTTGTACAGCTTACATATCTACCGTTAACAATCCAATTAATAGGCTAACACCTGCATTTAATTATAGATTTCCACGTGTGGGTTCCAGGGCCCTGTTATAGGGAAAACAAGAATAGACCCACTGCCTTACCCAAAAGCATGTCGTAAGAGTCGACTAATTGGGAGCTTCCTTCAAAGTAGGAGTGCATCTGCCTGAGAGGCAAGGTACCAGCGGTCTGCATACAAATAAGTCAGACCTGTAAAACGGATGCACACCCAACACTCTGGTTCTGGAACAGGACTGCAGTCCAGAAGTGGATGAACTACTAGAACTTGCCGCCAGAGTTTACAGCCGGTGAACGCAAAGAAGAAGAAGGAAGAATTAAAGATTACGTTAAAAAGGGGTGCTTATGCCACATATTCAAGAAGGCGCCACAAGAACAAAGGCTGAAACAAAACTGGTTTATACATTTAATTTATTTCAAATGTATTATTACAGTAAGACCTAGTTAACACGAATTCCAAGGGACCAAAGTAAGAAAATTCGTGTTTAAAAGTTCGTGCTAACCGGGGACTAACAACAATAAGACCTTCCTGCTTGGGCCAGAACTGTTTTCCTGTTAAACCATGAGTTCTCCTTAAGCGAGTTTGTCTTAACGAAGTTTTAATGTATATTTAATATTTATTCAGCAATTATTATTATTAGTATGCTTTTAAACCAGATTTAATTTCCCATAAGCGACCACTTTTGCTAAGAAACAATCATGGCCAGGGGTGGGTGCCAGTCCCTCAATTTTTACTCTGCGTCTATGCGCCCAAATGTTGCTGGTCTGAAATAATTACAATACCTTACCTGTAAATAAGCCAACAGTCGTAAAGTAAAGGTGGCGATGTAAAGCGAGTTGGTGAAGAAATCCAGAATGTTCCACATGTCGTGGATGTATTCTATGGCGCCTTCGTCCCATAGCTGCTTGATCTCGCTCCACATGAGCCCTGCCAATAGAAGAGAAGACGATGACTCTTCTGGGAGAGCAACAAGACATGTTAGTTAGTCAGTCGACATATCATCTTCCTTTCACATCGATCCAATATATCAACAAGTGCTGCCGCAGCTGTGTAGCGACCGATGATACAAGACCGGCTCAAATTGACGGGCCAAGCTGCTGACGTCACTAAATCGGGCTATCGATATGTTAACGCAGCGATTCTCAAACTGGGTGCCGCGTATGTCAGGGCTGCGGGAAAAATAATAATGAATTTTACCACATCTGTCTGACATTAACTTTGCATTGTTCCCCCCACTCCCTTTCTTTTCCCAAGTATTCAAATCTCTTTAAGGGTAGGTGTGCTGCGAAATGTGTTGTTTTTTTGCCCGACGACAACGTATCATTAGCCCGGTTTGGTGACGTCAGCAGCATGGCCCGTCAGCTGGAGCCGGTCTTGGATAATACCAGTTCTGTGTTTGTACAGTGCCTTCTCTTTAGCGGCAGAAGCAGTACTCAGTTCTGGCACCTTCTCTGAGTTATGATTCTATCCAGCGCTACCGTAACAGAACTCTGTGGTGAGTACCGGCACCTTTTGTGTGTGTGCGTGTGGAAACACGGGCCCATGGGCTGGTTTATTATTCTTCCCTGGCTTCCTGCACAGCGCTCTTGTCTAGTCTCACCTCTTTTCACCACTTGCTGTTCTTGCAGTCTGGTTATAGCTGAATTATCAACTGAATTAGGCAAACAACAAATATTAGCAGAACAGTCAGTACATTTATGATCCACTACCCGTCTGATATATTTATATATATATATTAGCCTTAACTGCTAGTTTTGACCCGAAGGTCGGGGTTCAAATCCGGATTGATTCAGATTGTTTGGTGGAAAATTATTCCAAACATCATGAGCATTAAATATATCCGAACTACATGTCCTTTGATGTAAGTAGAGGCAACAAATAAGTTTTTTTCTTTAAGTCGTCAACTTGATCCTAAAGTAAGACAGTGTGGTTACTTTATGTATCCAGAAACAATGAGTTGTTAACCCTTTGGCTCGGATATTGCAACCCTTCGGCCTTGATTCCGTTATAGGTACCGTATATCTGGGAGAAATGTGGCTTTTCTGGCTACCCGTGGGCGTGAACCCGGGCCACAAGGAGGACGTCACCCGGCCACCGCGAAGTCAGGTTTAACCAACTTCGCTAGGGAGCCGGGGGTGTGGATACTTAGATGAGTCGTCCCATCGCAGAGACTGCCATTGAGGTAGGAATAATTAGTCCTTCTCATATAGTGGGCAGCGAAATGTCAGTGGGGTGAGCAGTTGTCGTCCTTGGTGATGCTTTTTTTGTCGCAGATAATATTTAAGATTTTGAACAACGGATACATCACGACACACAATTGTAACCCATAAGTGTTCCGTTCTTCTTCTAACTCAAGTCTGAGTCAGAATAAGCTCAGCACAGTGCACAAGCTCTGTAGCACCGGATCCTAAAATACATTGGCTAGATTTTTAAACTCTAAATTGTGAACAGGCAGCGCCGTTAGGCCACTCTTTTCGATTTCCAACTTCTTATTCTTATTCTCCTCCTCCTCCTGCTGCTGCTTCTTCTTTTTCTTCTTCTTCTTCTTCTTCTTCTTCTTCTTCTTCTTCTTCTTCTTCTTCTTCTTCTTCTTCTTCTTCTTCTTCTTCTTCTTCTTCTTCTTCTTCTTCTTCTTCTTCTTCTGCTATTGCTGCTAATGGTGCTGTTGCGCCTTCTTCTTCTTCTTTTCCTCTTTTTCTTCTTCTTCTTTTTCTTCTTGCTGCTGCTGCTAATGCTTCTGCTTCTTGTTGTTGTAGAAAGACTTGAAATTTGTGTGCACATCCGTGTTACTGATCTTTCTTATTTATGAGCAGACTATTTTGCAGCAGCCTATGTTGGTTCCCTGCCTCCCAGGCAGATGCACTCCGTCTTCGATTCTGTCTTCGCTGGCCCGGCTTCCGACAGGAAACCTGTTTTTAGGACGACCGCAAGGAGTTTGACCTATCAGAACCGTCATCATTCCTAGTACATCTCCACAAGTGGCTCAGCCACTCGAATAATAATAATAAAAAAAAAATGATCAAAGAATTGAATCAAACCCTCGATCTCTATGACACCCATTAAAAGATAAAGAGCCACATAACAAACTGATTTGAGAATTACTCAATCTACAGAAACACCGTCTCAATCAGCAGACGCTAAATTCGTTTTCGCATGTCGTATTTTACCACCTGTGGTGAGTTTAATGAGATTTTTATGTCGTGTGATGGTAGTGGTTGGCTGGAAAACGCTGATATTGTTGTCTTGTTTATCTGCACACATATATGGGTCGAATATTTGTGTTAAACTTTATGTAAGCCGGGAACAAGACGACAAGAACCAAATTAAATAGCGGAAAAAAACATCAATGAGGAAATATAGGAAACAGAAGGAAAATGCTTGCAGTTAAGTTAAGACAAAAAAGTCTGAGAAGAAGGACGTAAAATACATGCTATGGCAACAATGGTCCTAAAATCCCATGACCTAAATGTAGAATCAGGCAAGCACACTTCCAAAAACAGCAAATGGTTACTTGACAGTTGCCGAGTTCCTATGCCAACGAAATCCACACCGAATGCTTTTCACCTGCCGCGTGTGAGTTGATTGACACATTGACACAGTCAGTAGTATACACACGCATTACATGCACAAGACAGTAGTCAGAGGTGACAACACAAACAGCCCGGCACTATCAAGGCAGTTTATTAGCATAATATGATAGCCGTGGCAAGCTATTTCCTTCTGACTGTTGTTAGTATATTTCCTGATATTTGGACTGAAAGTATTTTATTCCATCGTTCAGCTACCTGGATGAGTGCATGACGCGATACCCTAAGCTGTGGATTTCATCTTCTTTTTTTTTTTCTTTTGTTTGCTTGAAATAGTTTATCTATATCTGCATTGTTGTCTGTAGTATGAAATTCACTGTCTTTTGTAATTCACTCAGCGATCCTTAAAGTCGGACTTGCACCGATGTTTCTCTTGGCCACAAGTTTTGCCTTGATATGTTGTATTTGGGACAGTCTTGGAGGACGTGATCTGTTGTCTCAGGTGCCAGTCCACATGTGAACATGGCTGATTCGCCGATTTTAAAGTTTGTGTAGATGTGGCTGCGAAGTCGATTCCTGTTCTAAGGCGTAGAATAAAAACATGCTCTGGTCTGTCCGTAAAATGATGATAGTCTTGTGTCGGTTTTGGTGGCTTTCTGATTGATTTTATTATTCTCTTCTTTTGCTGAAAAGAGGCTGGTAAGTCAGGTTGTTCTTCATTTGCACCTTCCTTAGCTAGTTTATCAGCTATCAGATTTCATCTGTAATGCTTTTCTAATTGTGAAAGACTTTTCCTAACGCAAGCGTGTCCTGCAAGTTCACTCTCCATCGCAATGGGTTGTGACTCCCATGCCTCCCCATTGCAAAATGTAATACAGTCGTCTACAAAAACGGGGAAATGCCAACAAAAGGGAAAAAAAAAAATGTTAGTGCAGAGAAAGAGTTCACATTTAGTTCTCAATCCCGTAACAGGTGATGCTGATTCGATGGGAAGATTAAGCAGAAAGCCTGAATGTCATTCAAAGGCTGCGGAAGAAACACGAGGTTTGGTTTATAGACTCCGGATGCTGAGGAAGGGGACATAGCAATTATGATAATATCCTAAGTGTTCTGGTATCAGTTCATCTACCATCCATTCATTTATTAATCCATTAATTAATTAATCCACCCACCACCAATCCTTCCATTAATAAATCCATCCATTAAAATAATTAATTAATCCACCCGTCCATCCATCCATTAATTAAGCCATCAATCAATTAATTAAATAATCCATCCAAAAAGTACTTAATCCACCCCTCAGCCCATTAGTTAATTAATCAATCATTTATAAATGCACACATCCATGCATTAATTAGTCCATCCATCAAACCATCCATTATTCTATCCATCCACCCAACTATCCATTAATCCATATGCCCATCCGCTCATTGTCCTTGGCTGCGATGACTTTCCTGTAGAAGGAGAGAACGTATGCGCTGGAAAGGTGAAAACAAGAATCGTAACAATAATAATATACCAAAACCACATTAACACGAATTCGAAGTGCTTGAACGATCAAGATTTTATGTTTAACAATTGGTGCTGACCAGAGACTAATGCATCTTTGCTGAAACCAAAAATTTGGTTTATGTTAACCAAGTGTTCGCCTTAAGCGAGTTCACGTAAACGTTTTTTTTACTGTAATACTAATAAGATGACCATAAAGTAGTACAAGGATAATAATGCTATAATAAAAATTGATAATAATGCTTATTATAATAATAGTTATAATAATAATAGAAAAAAAAATACTATAATACTGAACAGGAAATAAAGAAGAAAATACAGTTTAAAAAAATTATAATAACAATAATAAAGATACCAAGAAGAACAAAAAGAATCAGATGTAATGCGAACGAACAGTCTTTCATGAATAATAAAGTTGATGACGATTATGATTTATTTTTTGATTTAAAGATAACTACTGCTGCTACTGCTTCTGCTACTACTATTACTGCTACTACTACTGCTGCTACTACTGCTGCCACTAATACTGCTGCTAATAGTACCACTGTTGCTGCTGCTTCTGCAACTACTGCTGCTGCTACTAAAGCACTGACAACAGCAATACCTATTAATATTACTACCTCCTATAACTACCACTTCTACACCAAGACCAGCAATAACTACTACAGCGATTACCACCAACAGCAGCAAACATTACTACGACTACTACTACTACTAGTACAACAACAACAACTACTGCTACTACTACTACTACTACTACTACTACTACTACTACTACTACTACTTCTACTACTACTACTACTACTACTACTACTACTACTACTACTACTACTACTACTACTACTACTACTACTACTACTACTACTACTATTACTACTACTACTACTACTA